AAGTTCAGCTTATAAATCCATATATGCAATTCATCATTATTATGGTTTATGTGCTGACGGCATCTTCATGAGAGACTTAAAACTGGCTGAGTTCTCAAAATTATAGATTAGAAGTCAATCACTTCTCAGAAAAGAAAGGTATATGTTATTATATATGTACATTATACAATAATGATAATGTATATTGAGGTTAGCAAGACATATGTGGAGAATTTCAATAGGAAAGTAAAAATGAAGCTTGCTGTTCTCACAATGTACCACAGCAATTTCAGAATCATTACACTAAGCAAATACCCTTGTACACATTAGGGGAAAACAATTCTGTTTTTCTAAAAGCAGGCAAGCAATAAACAGTTATAATTCTCTTCTTTGCTGTAGCATTTTAGTGCAATAACTTGTTTGGAATAAAATAGTTTTAGATAAACCGTGAGTAATATGTTGTCTAAGAGCTTTAAAAAATTCCATTTAGCTTCCTCTTAATGGCCTATTAACTTATATATTTCTGTTTCTTCTAAAAAGATTCCATTTATACATCTGAATATTTTCTTTGTTGTATAATACATTGACTTTACAGAGCGATAAACTATTCTGATTGTAATGCATTCTAGGCAATACCATAAAAAAAAGTGTCAGCAGAGTAATTTCACCCTCAAAATGATCACCTTCCATGAGTAATAAATTGCTTGCATACATTCATAAGAGACTCTCTGTGGAATATGTTCAAATTCATATGCACATATCTTCACTTTGAAAATTTAGAAGAAATTCATAAGTTACTGTGTTTATGACCAGATTTTAGTCCCAGAATGGCTCTACTTTGAAAAGGGTTTGTGTTAAATTACAGAAGTAGTTATTAATACTTATCAGACTTCAGTCTATCAACTTAGCAGAACAACCCCACATGTTCACAGTTGGCCACTGTCGCAACACCCCACTAATACTCCTGGAGGCCTTCCACATGAGAGCCGCTGGCCGCGCGGAAGCAAGCCGACCTGCACCACGAGGAGAGACGGGGTTTGATGTCCCAAGTGGGCGCTGGCACCCATGGACAGCGAGTCCCGACCTGGGAGCACGTATAGGTCATTTGTATGACCCATCTCATTCCCAAACCCTGGAGACAGGGAGGTCATCATTGCTCTCCTCGCTCTTTAAGAGATGAGAGAAATGAGGCTGAGGCAGGGTGAGGACTTGCCAAAGGTTTTGCAGAAAGAGCTGAATCCTCTGCCCTCGGTGCTTCCCGTGGGGACTGGAGAGCCACAGGACCCACACTCCCCGTGGCATGTAGGAGGGTGTGAGCCAGCACCACTAGGGAGGCAACCCCAGCAGCACTCGCCAAGTCAAGTGGTTCTCAGTGTCCCTCCTGTCCTCAGAAAGCCACCTGGACACAGCTCTGGGAGTTGAAGGATATGATTTCTTTAAAAAAGACTTTCAGGCAAGTCACAGCTGAACTTTACACAGTCATCAACCAGTGATGACTCATGCGCAAGTTTCCCCCTGGGAATCCTCTGCAAAACTCTGCTGTGGCCAGCTACAGGGGTCAAATGAGGGACTTCACATCCTCTAGCTCACGGTGGCTCGTTTCCTCCATGTGTGGCGAGGAAGCTGAACTCCTGAGCAGTGAGAGGCTTCTCTCTGGTCACTCACTTCATCAGGACCATTCAGCAGGATGGCCGTCCAGGGGTGCCTTGCACACTGGTGACACGCCTTTAGCCATTCGTGGCAGAAACGCTTTGCAGCAAGGATGGTACTGAGGGCCAGAAGGGAAAAGTGAGCAAGACACAGCTCCTGACCTTGCCAAGGACATAGCCCAAGACGATGACAGTCAGATGTGAGAAGAGTAACAGAAAATACAGACAGACATGGGACGAATCCACAGCACTGTCCCCTGTTCATTATGAACACGCGACCAGTGAAACTCCACTCCGGGGAAACCTCAGGAATGGGATCCTAAGTAGAGGAGTCATGTTCTATGTGTATGAGATGCCAATATGCACTGTACTCTCATGTATATCTAAAAAGAGCAAATAAAAAATTTTAAAAGTTATTGGAGATACACACACACACACACACACACACACACACACACCCTGCCACCTGAACATACGGCATTCGTTACAATGGATGGGACACTCACTCTGGGTGCCTGGGAATGCGTAGGAGTCTGCCAGAAGGGAGGGTGCTCTGAGCAGGGTCCTGTGGGGCACAGGGTGAGGGATCTGGAGTGACAGCTGGTGCCACACTTGTAGGATGAGGCTTTCAGACCCTCAACAGACCTTGACTGCACGCTTCACTAAGGTCTCTCTCTCTCTTACACACACACACACACACACACACACACACAGCCTGCTGGGAGTCACCGCTGTCTTGGCTCTGTCCTAGATCTACCTTGGGACTTCTGGATGGGTGGCTCTGATCCCAGGAGCATGCCATGTGCCTGAGCACACTGTGGTTGTTAATCTGGGTGGGGTCAGGGGAATGGCTGTTTGTACTCCACAGAGACAACTGCACCAGTGGTGGTGGCCATTGCTGCCCACGGTGGTGAGGGCTCTGTGTCTGTCGGCCCTCGAGCCCTGCTGGGCTGTCACTGTGGGGCGCACATTTTCTCCTGCTACCAGCTCAGCCTGCATGAGACAAATGCTCATACAGCCCCCACACAGGGCAGCAATGCCCCTCAGGCAGCTGCCCACGGCCCTCAGTTCTCCCAGGGGCAGGTGGGAGCCCTCAGGGACTCCAGGCACCAGTATCCTCCATTAAGCAAAGACATTTGGCTCAAGGCCCGGGCTCAACCTTGGTGCAGAAGCCACCCAGAGCCGGGGGACAGCTGGGCTCCAGCCACGGAGCAGCTCTGTCTGAGAGCCTTGGTCATGGGTGCAAGGACCCAGGGGTAGGAAGAGCAACAGGGACAGAGCGGTGACCTTCCCAGGACCCACTCTGAAAAGGAGTTTCAGCTCTTGGGGGAGAGGATTCAGAGCTTCTGGCCCAGACTCTGGTGAGAGATGTGCTTCCCTGGCCCCAGGAAAAGCTTCCCCAGATCCATTCACACTTCTTCCAGGTGGTGCCCAGGGTTTTCCGTCTGATTTCATCTCACTCCACTTGGTTTTCCCAATGCTGATCTTGAGTTTGGGGACCATGGGCTCCGGTGTGCCCAGGTGTCCCACTAGCCTGCTGGAGTTACGTTGGTGGCTCTCACTCACTGAGCGTGTCCGCACCCATCAGCTCAGGCTTGGGAGAGCTTCGAACAGTGGCTCAAGAGCCAGTTTCACAAGGAGGGAAGGAGCCCAGGCCAGGCAGAGCTGCTCAGAGCAAGACAGCCAGGGAGAAAGGGCACCAGGGGGACCTCCCTGGAGACAGTGGGGACACTGGAGTGGTAGAGCACCACCTGTCTTCTCAGGGTCATCCAGGGGCAGTTGCAAGGAGTGTCATTGCTTTGCAAGTGGAGTGGGGGTAGGCAGCGAGGCCCCAGAGTGAGGTAACAGTTGACAATGAGCAGCCCATGCAGGCAAGGTCACATGTGTTCTTTAAACCACTGTAGGGTCTTCTGTAAACTGCTTCCGAAGTAGATGAGAAAGGAATGGGTGGCAGTTAATTTGTAGGAAATAAACAAAGGAGCTGATGGAAACTCTGTCAAAAGAAAAGGATGAATGGGACCAGCTCTGGAGAGGGACCGTCCACTAAGGCCGGTGTGAAGCTAGGAATGACAGACTTGGGTGTCTCCACTCCCTGGGAAGGGAGATTCCTTGAGTAGCACCAGTGCTCTAAGATGACTTCTGGCCAGCTGTTGACCCCAGTGCCCATCACGGGACTGACTTGTGGATGAAGCCCCCTTAGATAGGATGGCCACCAGGACAGTTCCAGAGAGGACCAAAACCCCACCACGAGGCAAGGAGGAGTCGAACCCCTGACTGGTGAAGGCTGCTGAAGGAGGACCCCAGTTCTCCTGGTAAACAGCAACCAGTCATAGGGTAATAGATCTGGGGACCACCTTGTCTCCCCCGTGGTGCTGCTGGGAGTCAGTGCTCCCTCCCTCCCTCTCCCTCCCTCCCCTCCCTCTCTCTCTCCCTCCCTCCCTCCCTCTCTGTCTCTTCCTCTCCCTCCCTCCCTCTCCCTCCCTCCCTCTCTCTCTCCCTCCCTCCCTCTCTGTCTCTTCCTCTCCCTCCCTCCCTCTCCCTCCCTCCCTCTCTCCCTCCCCTCCCTCTCTCCCCTTCCCTCCTTCTCCCTTTCTCCCTCCCTCTCTCTCCCCCTCTCTCCCTTTCTCTCTCCCTCCCTCCCTCTCTCCCCCTCCATCCCCTCCCTTTCTCCCTTTCTCTCTCCCTCCTCCTCCCTCTCCCCTTATTTCTCCCTCCCTCTCTCCTTTTCTCTCTCTCCCTCTCTCTCTCCCTCTCCCCATCCCTCCTCTCCCTCCCTTTCTCTCTCCATCCCTCCCTCTCTCTCCCTCCTTCCCTCCCCCTCCATCCCCCCTTCCTCCCTCCGTCTCTCTCTCTCCCTGCCCTCCCTGCTTGAGCCTCACTCTGCCTTACTGTCCCCTCACTTCCTTGCCATATCACTCATAATAAAGTTCCCCTGCTTGGCTTTTGCTGTCTGACTTTACATTTTCTTTCTTAGGGAAAGGAGAAGGTTTGCGGCCTCAGCTCAGGTTTCCCTGTGCCTTGGGCTGGAGAAGGGACACTCGGAATCCGGATCAGAGTGGGCTGTTCCCCACGAGGTGTGACGAGTTTGAAGACAGTGATCATAATGGACCTTTATAAATACCCATCTAACCAAAATGCTCTAGAAGTAGGCGATATTTTAAGCATGTTGCTGACTCTTAAATAAAAAGCAGTCAAACGTAAAAAAACAACAACAAAAAATGGTTTCCCTTGACCTTAAGAAGACATGTGTTCGTGGTACAGCAGCCCAAGCAGCCTTCTTGGGACTAGCATTTAGTTTTCAAAGAGCATTAATCCTGTTGCAGTTATTTTTTTCCTATGGGAAAAGGAAAAGGAACATTTCAATAACTAAACTGCTCTTAATACTCATTTATTTAAACTCTTTTCTCATTTGGCTGAAGAGAAAGAAGTCACGTGACGTTTCTTCTGGGTGCTGTGACTCAGAAGGAAGTTTGTGGAAGGAGCCTGGCTGTGTCTCCCCAAATACTTCATATTTAGCATGAAAAGGATAGCTTTCTGTGACATTTTTAAAGTGATTTGCATGTTACTACTTGAAACGCCTAATATTTCAATCCTTTTCTCTTCTGAAAATACCTATGTTTTAAAATTCCTGCTTCTGCCTCCCTCTCAAGAATTATTTAAGAAAAAAGGAAAGTGTTCTCAGAAGGTCGTTTGGGGTCGCTGCCTCTTCTGTGAGGCTCCCAGGTTCCCGCAGGGAGCGCAGCGCGAGGGGGGCTTCAGGAAACAGGTCCTGCTTGTTGTGGCTTTCCAGGCCCGGGTGCAGGACCCTGGACAAGGTGGGTGCTTGAAGAAATCAGAAAGAGCTGCACTGAAAGAGGCTTCAAAGTCTCCACACTGGGGTCCGTCCCCGTCCCCGGAACTGCAGACGTGCCCTGGAAGTGGGGCATGCGCCTGTTGCCCGAGTCCAAGGGGGCCACAGAGACGATGCCTGCCCTCAGGGGCTGGCCACGTGGCTCAGACTCCGCCAGTGCAGGGGGCCCCCCTCCAGCCCCACACCTCAGGCCCAGAGCCTCCAGGAGTCCACATTGGGCCCCAGTGCTGGGCACAGAGCCCAGGGACCCAGGGACACCTAACAGTGCCCCGCACCCTAGCCACACCCTAGCCCTGCAGATCTCCTTAGAAACCGGTTCCCTCACGTGGCCCCAGGAGGCAGCAGGGTGGGTCGTGGCCCCTGGGTTCCTCAGAGGGGCGCCCCAGGCCTCCTCTCCGCCTGCTCAGCAACCCGCTGGCCCGGCTCTGGAGCCCTCTCCCCGTGGTACCTGCCTGCAGTCCCCAGCGCCAGCTCACCCTGCAGCCACTCCAGGTTCCCAGTGGCTCAGGCCACGAAGGTGGAGCCAGCGCTGGCCCTCCCTCCCCTCGCACTGTCCCTGGGGGCTTCTGTAGATGGGCCCAGGTGCGCCCGGGCTCTGGTCTGAAGCAGCCCCTCCGACGTCACCACACTGTGCACGGAGCCCTGGGAGCCCTGGGCTTCTGCCCGGCCACTGCCATTGTGGTGGTGTGCCCTAGTTACCTCGGGCCTAACTGCGCCCCTTCAGACACTACTGGTGTCTGCTTCCACCCTGCCCTGCAGGCTGCCCTCAACGCGGGGCCACAGATATTCTGGCAAAGCCTGGGTCATGCCACATCACTCCTCTCCTCATTCAGAGGAAAGGTGAACATTTCACCTTGACCTCCATGACCCTGCATGATATGGTCACTCTGATCTCATCGGCTACCAAACATTTCACTACTCGCTGAGCGTGTTGGGAAGACCCCCACCACGGCCTTGGTCCTTCCTGCTTCCCCTGCCTGGACTGCGGTCAGCCCAGACCTCTCTGCCTGTCGAGCTTCACATGAGTGCTCCTCCCCGGAAGGCCTGCTGGCAGCCTGTGCAGAGTGCTGGCCATGCTGCCCTGCCCTCCCCTAGTGCTCTGCCCCCTGTGGGTGGAACCCAGGGCTCCCAAGAGCAAGGGACAAAGGCAAAGGGCCGTGCTCACTAGCATCCCAGAGAGGCCACCTGGGGAGCTATGGCACCCTCTGGCATCAGGAAACCACTGAGGCACATCCTCAGGGACACTGCGCTTGGCTCTGAGGAGCTTCTCACTCCTGAGGTCACAAGCGCCCCTTCAGTCACCCCAGGGTCTGCTGCAGAGGCTCTCTGCAGTCCAGCACTCCCACCTGGTGGCCATGGAGCTCAGAGCCTTCAGATCAGGTTGGCACTGTATCTGCCCCAGGCCTGCAGCCTACTCTGGTCCAAGGCAGACGCGGGGCCCGCGGCTTGAGGGGAGTGGGCTGTGGAAAGCAAGGGTGGTGTGAGGAGGTGCCGCAGGCTCAGCGGGCCCCTACCAGGCCTGCAGAGCACCAGGCCGGGCCAGGCCTGACACGGGGAAGCACTGCTTGCCTGCCCACCTCCAAGACCACGCCAGACACGCCAGCCAGAGCCCAGGCCTGCCCAAAGCCACCTGTGAAGAGAACTCTGGTGTTTGAGGACAAATCTGAGAGGTGAGAGGGAACGTGAAGGGCAAATTCCCTCACCCAGGAGAGGTGTTTCACCTAAGAACCTCGAGTGTGAGCCTACGAACTTAATACGGAGTGACAAAGTGGTCAGAAGTCCAGAGGTCTGAGCTCACTGCTTATCACATCATGAAATCTCTACAGAGATGGGCTAAGCTGATGCACATGGAAGAAGCCTCAGTCGTGACTCCGGGGCTCTGTCTGGAGGAAATCCATGAGTGAACACGAAAACTCTCCAGGCCCAGCCACTGTCCTCACAGCCCACATGCTGGGCAGGGAGCTGTGGAGACTCCCAAGGAGCACCCTGGCCAGAGGACAGGTGCCTCAGAGGCCTAATGGGCTGAACCCTGCAGGCCCCCAAACACCAGGCAGCTCATTCTGCCATATATAGTTTCCACTGTCCGTCTCTCTCCTCCCTAAGGGCTCAGATGCTCGCTGCCTCGGTGCCCGTGTATTTTTGTATTTTGGGCTCCATTACGTTGGTTAAGTCAAAGTCAGGCGACACCAGTCACATTCATCCTACTGCCCACTTCCGAGGTTCACAGAGCAGACAGACTCCAGGTGGAACTCTCCCTACATCTCTCTGCATCCTGGAGGATGTTCTGCACAGGAGGCCAAAGGACCGGGGATCAGGCTATGTTTCTGTCCCTCCTGGCAGGAGGAGGCTGTGACTTGGCAAGACAGGGATGTGAGGAGCCTGGCTGTCCATGTGGGAGGGAGGAACGGGACCTGGGGGACAGCGCCTCCTGCAGGCACTTGGCCGTCTCTGCATGCACTGGTTTGGATTAAAAGTGCTAGCCTGGATTTTCCTGGAAGGAAAAATGCCCAGATAAAATTACACACACACACACACACACACACACACACACACCAGATGTCACGGAGAAGGACAGTGAGAGAAGCCGACTGACAGGCTTTGACACAAAACAATGCTTGCAGAGGCCCAGTTTACAAAACACAGGTCCTAAATCAAGCGAACCTGCAATGGCAGGTGAGGATGAGACCCAGGACGGAATGCAGGAGAGCAGCAGGGAGAGTTCACCTGTGGGACAGGAACGCCAGCTAGGACTGAGCCCTCGCATACGGCATGGGGCAAAGCGTCATAAACAGTTTTCCACATTTTTGGAGCATTGATGCCACTAAGCCCTCAAGACAACCCTCTGGCGCTGGCATGTCAACCTGTCGGCACTGCCAGCCAGCCAGCAGGAGGGAGGGAAAATGCAAGGAAGAAGTCCAGTTCCTACACAGCAGGAGCATGGCCAGGCCTCAGGGCCAATGAGGCAGCTCTTCGCCCACCCTGCTGCTGCCCACGGAAATCAGCCAGAGCCCCTGACTAGCCAAACCCAATGAGAAGGTACGGGGACCCAGGGACTAAACAACAGCACTGGTAAAGGTCACCCTTCCAGGGCACAGAGAGGCAGTGGGAAAGCACACCACATGGCTGGTCAGTTGGGGCACGTGGGAGCCCAGCCCCATCATAGAAGGCACCTGGGTGGGCGGTCATTTCCCCTCCAGTCCAAGGCAGAAGGTTCCCTGCTCTGCCATCCCCACATCCTGGCCCAAGCACCAAGGAGCAGTTTCACACGCTGCTCCTGGAGGGTTTGAAAGGGAAAGGCACATGAGCAGGGACCTATTCCTTGCCACAAGGACCTGGAAACAGAGGGAGCCCCCCTATGGGGAAAGTTCAGCTGGGACATCCTGGGGTGGGAGGGTTCTTGGCCTTGGATGGCCACCTGCCCAGGTACGAGTCAGGTGCTGGTGCATGCTGTCCTTCAGATCTGAAATGTTCCCAAAGGCCCATGTGGTTAAGGTGTCCTCAGTCTTGTGCCACTGAGAGGGGAACACTTGGGAGACAGGGCCTGACGCTAGCAGGAGAGATGGAGGAAGGCAGGCTCCCCAGGGCAGGCATACCCTGTCCCTTCCGACTCTCTCCTTGTTCCCCAGATACCATGAGGTGAGCAGCTCACTCCAACGTGCTCCTGCCTGCCACAAAAACTGGACCACCAAAGGTCCCAGCCCTGGGGCCAACCACCGAGGACTGAAACCTCTGGAACCACAAGCCCAAAGAGACCTCTACTCCCTGCATATCTGGGGTCACAGTCACAGTGAGGGAAGGCTGATCCACACAGCGCCCAAGGAGAAGATGACCATGCTGCCGGAGACCAGAGGGTGCGCACAGCTCCACCCCTAGCCCTCGCCACCAGAGGCCGTGCTGCATGGGATTCGCCCATCGGAAAACTCACAGTGGGTACTTCATCACTCTGTCTTGAGCTGAAATTCACAGGCCAGAAGGTGTCTTTCATTCAATTTGCAAGCAAATGGCTAGTGGAAATTCATCCCAAACACTGAACACCACCGAGGCGCTCAGGCAGGAGGACAAGACAGGTCGGACCTGGAAGGACAAGTACAAGATTCAGAACAAGATTCACAAAGGATGCAGGAAGGGTCGGGATGGAGGGCTATGCACATTTTACAGCTCCTTAAAAATCTACTACGACATAACCTCCAGAACAGAGCTGTGCGCACGGGTCCACACAGTAGAGGTCCACGCACTCCATGCCTGTGCCATCACCAAGGTGACGTTGTGGGGAAACAGGTCTATGGGCCACATGGAAACCCAGGAAAAGGAGAGGAACTCTTCTGTTCCCCACCAGTCAAGCCCCTGGGACATTGCCTCTGGTGTGGGAATTCAAAAGCACCTCGTGCGTGTCCACCTGGTGAGGACTCGGACCATGTGCTAAAGTCCAGGAGGTGCAGATGCAGTGAGACCAGCACTTCTCCACTGCCGCAGCCCGGCTGGCTGGGCAAAATAACCGGGGGGGGGTGATGAACAACTTGTGCAGATTGATACAGCAGGAGTGGGAGCCATTTATTGTAGGACAGGAGGGGTATATATACATTCCACACAGCTTATCTAATTCACATAAACTAGATACAGCAGTCAACCAATAAGGAATCTCCACACTTAATGGCTCCCTGGCATTACTTCACAAACCACTCCCTCTGGCAAAATGCCAGGCGCCATCCTGGCTTGTTTACACACCTTAACACTCCACACCCTGATGGAGGAAGGTACACAGCACCACTTCTCTGGAGCACCCTTCTGTCATGGATATTAAGGCCATGAAAAGTGTACATGGCTTTCACCCACTAGTTGTGCCTCTGGGGAGGTAAAACAAGATAATCGGAGATGCCCACAGACAGACTGGACCACGGGTTCCTTGCACCTCTGCTTACAAGGGCCCCAGTAGAAAGCAACTTGAATGCCCAGGGAAGGGGAACACGTCTGCCACAAATCTCAGGCTGCATCAGGGCACCTGCGGGAAGGAGTCCAGGTGCTGAAAACCATGGAGCCCTCAGCTGAGGCCTAGCAGGCTTCCCAGGACCAGGGGCTCCCCAGGACCCTCTCCCAGCCTCTCTGCCCAGCATCTCCTGCTCAGGGAGCCAGGGCTGTCCACAGGGCAGTGCTCCCCACGCTCTGCCTGCTCCTGAGCCAGCTGCTCCCTCTGGCTCTCCTGCAGGGGCTGCATTCCAGCCCCTGCTCTGGGCCACCCCTCCTACCTGCCCCACCCTCCTCCACCCCCCTGCACCCAGCCTTTCCTCCTCCTCCCTGGCCACCCGCCCTCTGCCCTCCTTCCTTTCTCCCCCCTGCTCTCCAGGAGGACCCTGCACTCTGCCCCTCCCCTCTACCCATCCCTCTTCCCTCTCCTTCCTTCCTCCCCTGCCCTTCACTCCCCTGTCTCCTGCCCTTCTCAGCCCTCCCCCTCCCCCCTCCTCCCCCCTGCTCCTGCCTCTCTCCCTGGCCCTCCCTCTCCACTCCCTCCCCTCCCTGCCTCTGCTGCTCACAGTCTAGTCTGCAGTAGGTCTCCTGTCTCAGGGATGGCTCTGGGGACTTCCTCCTCCTGGGGATGGTGTCACTGTCCATCCCAGAGCCCACTGGGCACCTTTAACCATCTCTGCAACTCAAGTCGATCCCCTGGTTCCCAGCTGCGTCCTCCAGAGGTCCCCTGCTCCTCAGATCTGAACTGAGCTTGGACCAAGGAGGAGGAGAAGGGGAATGTTCTTGCCTACACAAGCAAGGCCTGCCATTGCTTAGGTCTAAAGAAATTCCAGGGCCCCAAAACAAACAAGAAACAGCCAACTATTGCCTTTATCAAAACAAACATTCCATGAATAATATGGAAAGTCTGGGAACTAAAAGGACGGAATATGGCCTTAATAACGACTCCTCCCAGCCAGCCCTCCAACAGGAACAGCTGGTGTCTCTGGCCACACATATTACACTGCCCAAACTCCCTAAAACAGAATGTCCAGCTCACTGCTCAACAGGACCTGAAGCTCAGGGTGACGGGCAGAAAGGCCACCTAGGTATGAATGCTCCACAAAAACACAATCCCAGGTACCTCACCAGTACACAACCCTGCGGTGGCTTTCGTCCTGTGAAGAACCCAGCCCAGGTCCTCTGGAGCCATTCAGCGCCCGTCTCCTCCAACTCGGACAGACTGGTGTCCAGAGCGTGGTAGCAGTCCCCTCATGTCCAGGACGCTGGTGCGGGTCGCTCTGACCCCTGAGTCCCAGGGCCACGTTCCCGACCTCTGTGGGGTGTGGGGGCCAGGGCAGGGCGCCTGCCTCATCATTGCCACACAAGGTCCTATCAGGTCACTCACCAAAACCCTCCCTACAGCCCACAGGAGAGACGGTGGGTCGCCTTCCAGCGATGAAGACCGAACCTTCCAGCTGAGAACCCTAGGGCCAGAGGTGCCCTTCCTGGGGTGCAGAGAGATGGAGGCGTCCCTGTCACCCAGGTCCCTTCCCCTGCTCTCTCCATAGAGCCTGAGCTGGCTGTTTGGGAACCTCACAGACTGACCGCTCCCCCCTCTGGGACCTGAGGCGTCCACGTGTCAGGCACCAGGAGGCCGGGTGTCCAGGGAGGTCTCGCTCTCTCCTTCCAGCGAGGGACCTTGTAGCCGTGTCCCACACCACATGGCTGAAAGGCCGAGGACTGGGCTCCTTCAGTCCCTTTCCCTGCTCTCCTCCCTTCTATCCTCCTTGGTCATAGTCATGGAGGCCCCAAGGTCACGCATGTGAGGCCAGCGCTCGACTCCTGAGCCACTTTCCCAGCCCTTTCTAGTGTCTTTGACGAAGGATCTCACACACTTGCCTGGGCAGGTCTTGAACTGCCAATGCCCCTGCTCGGCCTCCCCAACCCACAAGTAGAAAGGCAGTCACCACCTTGCCCACAGTGACATGTCTCTGTGTCTGTGTCTGTCTCTGTGTGTTTCTGTGTGTGTGTGTGTGTGTGTGCATGAGCACACCTGAGACCAAGCGCGACCATGTGTGGTGCAGAGGGTAGAACCAGGGCCTAGTTGCTGGCCAGAGGAGGTCCAGCCCTGAGGCGCACATCCCCTTGGGAAGCCAGGGCCCCAGGGCCTCACCCTCCTGAAGGACCACAACACCACACCCTCAAAGGGAGGGGAGTTTCAGCAGCACTTTTGGAGAAACACACTCCTCAAACCACGGCCCTGGGAAACCAAAGGCAAGGGACTCGGTCTCCCCTGCACCTGCCCTTCAGGACAGGAGTCCCTGGTGGTGGACTGAAGGACCTTAGGCAGGGACTCAGAGATGGGTGAAGACACAGGGGTTTCTGGAAAGGCCAGTTCCTGGCAAGTACAAAAGCTGGCCTCACTTTTCTTGTCCACGGGGAAGGGACCAATTCAGAAGAAAACACTCAGTGGAGGGTCTGCGGTACCAAACCACCAGGAACACACGGGTGGCTCTGTGACATCAGAGACCCAGGGGGAGGGGGGGGTCTGCATCTAGTACAGGATGGAAGTGAGGCTGCCCTCCATTCACATAAGACAGGGATCTCTGACCCACGTCAAATGGAAACCCCGCGGGGATCACAAAGAAAGGGGGACAGAGCCCACACCCCGAGTCGAAGGGATGGGAATTGAAAGGTTCACTCCAAACACTAGACCCGGAAAACGGCTCCTCCCAGCCAGCCCTGCACTCCTGGGGGCTGGGGGCTCTGGCCACACACCCTCCCCTGCCCACACCTGCGCCCCAGCTCCCCCACCCATAGGTGGTCCTGCTCCCTGCTCAGCAGCCCTGGGGAGCTCAGGGTGGCAGGCTGAAGGGCCCGTCCCCGGGTCAGGACGCTCACAGGGACAGTCCTGCGCAGCCGAAGGCCTAGAGAGGATAAAGCTTCACCAGGGCAAGAGCCAGGCCCTGGCAGGGACATTCAGAGGAGGGACCAAGCGGCAGCCCCCAAGCCACTCTGGGGGAGGCACCCACAGCTCTACCCTGACTGCCCCCGGGGCCTGCGACACGGTGCCTCCTCGTGCCACTCTGGGTGTCCCCCCAGGATGGGCTTGGGCTTGTGGCTCCTCTGTCCAGGGTTCCCTTCTGAAAGTGGTGACCGGGCACCATCAGTGTCAGGCCAGGCACAAGGTCTGCCTTTCTGCCCCCCACCCAGCCTCCTCCCCTGGGACCACTCTGGGTCACGTGTTGCCCTTGGGGACCTCCGGAGGGCTCCCTGTCACTGCTCCCTTACACCTTCCCCACTGTGACACCACCACCCACTCTCCCACTGTTGCCAGGAGGCGGCCAAGGAACGCAACAGCTGATCCCCACGGAGCACCCAATTTATTCCAAGATCCGTGGGACACGCGAATGGATGAGGAGCTTATCAGGAAGCATCTCTGCCCCAGAGGGTGGGAGAGAGAGCAGAGGAGAGCAGGGCGGGGCACGTGTCCAAGGAGAAGTCCCTGAGGTGGGATCCGGGTGGGGCGCAGGGGCCCACTGGTGTCCGGGTGTCTTCGGGTGTCCTCCTGCCTGAGGGGTCCGGGAGGCGGCGGCCAGGGCAGGTTGCACTTCTGCTACAGCAGCTGGCCCTCGTGAGGTAGAACCCGGGCCACCTGTCTGTGGACAATGAGAGGGGCTAGGAGTCAGAGTCGCCCGCCCTGTGGTGCCCAGGTGGACCTAACCCTGCTGGCACCCCCCAAGGGCAGAGGGTGTCCATTCATCCTTTGGAAATGACACTCATCAAGGCACACGTGAGACCTAAGGCAGCACCGCTCCACCTACTTGGCTCCGTGGGCGTCTCAGCTGGGCGCTGGCCGGGGAGCCACTCTGTTTTTGAAGAATCTTCTGAGGGCCTGACCTCTGGTGGGGGCAGGTCCCGGGGGGTCCCTGGGTGCTGGTGCTGGTGGCGCGGGCCCTCCAGCTGCGGGAGCCACTCTGTTGGAGCGTCCGGAGCCAGTCCTGGGGGCCTGCCCGCAGCAGCACAGCCTCGCCAGACAGGTGGCCATCCTCCGGACCACTCCCCTCCATCCCCTGGCGGTGTCACGGGTCAGGCCAGGGGTCCTGGAGCCAGCAGGGGGTTGCGCGGTGGAGGAGGAGCTGGGATCCGGTGCCAGGGCCTGGGAGGACCCGGGCAGAGGGGCCGTGGGGCCGGGAGCAGGGACGCTGGCCGACAGGCTGCACAGCATGATGGCGGGCAGGCTGGCTCTCCTGCTGCCCACCTGCCCTGACGGCTTGAGCTCCTCAGGCTGCTGCTGCTGCTGCTGCTGCTGCCGCTGCTGCTGCTGCTCACAGGCCGAGAGGGGCCAGGAGCGCATGGCCGGCCTGCTGACGCCCCACCTTGGGCCCAGAGTCAAGTTGGAGGGGATGCATAGGGACGGGCAAGGCCCCACCTGTGGCCACCCAGGCATCTGCAGCCGCACCTGGCAGCCCGCCCCCCGGGTTTTCTGGTGGCCCAGCAGGAGGTAGGTGGCCATGGCCTGGTTGAACTGGCGCGTCGCCACCGACACCCAGGTCTCCTGCAGCCCGTAGCCCAGGTCCAGCATGGCCAGCAGGATGGAGGTGTCCGCGCGCTTGGGGAGCAGCTCGGCGGGAGGACTCGGGCAGCGTTCCCCATCCTGGCTCAGCCACGGGTGCCCCAGGATCTGCTGGAGCGTGGGCCTGTGCGCGGGCTCCAGGGTCAGCATCCAGGACACCAGGCTTTGCGCCTCGTCGGACAGGTGGAACGGGAGGTGGTACCTGGCCTGCAGCACCTGCTCCTTGGCCTGCTCATAGCTGGCCCCGGTGAACGGGACGCTGCCCGTGAGCATGAGGATCAGGAGGACACCCAGGCTCCAGACGTCCACCGCGGGGCCGTCGTAGGGCTCTCGCCGGTGCAGCTCCGGGGCCCAGTAGGCCACGGTGCCGCAGAGCAGGCCCAGCTTCTCTCCGGCCCTGAACCTGCAGGCCAGGCCGAAGTCGCACAGCTTGGCGCGGCCCGCGGCATCCAGCAGCACGTTTTCCGCCTTCACGTCCCGGTGCGCGATGCCCTGCGCGTGGCAGTAGCCCACGGCGCTGGCCACCTGCCCGAACAGCACGCGGGCCTCGTCCTCCCACAGGCCCACAACCTCCGGGATGTGCTGGCCCAGCTGGCCCCCAGCCATGTGCTCCATCACCACGTAGGCAGTGCCGGGGGTCTCCACGATCTCCAGCAGCTGCACCACGTGCGGGTGCTCCAAGCCCTTCATGATGTCCAGCTCCGACAAGACCCAGGACAAGGTGGCCCCCGCCCCCTTCCGCAGGACTTTCACGGCCACCTTCGTCCCCGTCAGGATGTGTCGGGCCAGGAAGACCTTGGCAAAGCTGCCCTGCCCGACGACCCCCAGGGGCTCATAGCGGCCCGTGAGGGCTTCCTCCAAGGAGGAGCTGGCCGCGAGGTCCCGACGCACCCTCCGCACCACACTACGCTCACTGCTCTCTCTGGACATCCTCCGCCCCACGCCCACTAAGCCCGCTAGCTAAAAACAAACACAACAAACAAAGCAAAGAACACAAGCAAAACTAACACAACAAAGCCCAACAGAAAGCCCCAAATCAGAGAACCAACCTGAGACCGCAACCAGAACCACCAAACCACCAACCACCAAACGCGCTAACTATGGGAGTCCCACAGGTCACTGCCTAGAGCTTCCTGTGCTTGTGGACAAGGTGCCAGCCTCGACCCGGCCTTATATCCCCGCTGGCTCAAGGGCCTCACAATGCTGGCCCCTGTGAGGTCACAGCCAGGAGTGGCCCACTCACACCTGGGGGTGGCCCACGGTGGCATCTCCCACTCGGGCCTCCGGGACCTTGGCCACCTTCCTGGTCAGAACAAGGAGGGTCTGTGGAACCTCGGTGCTCCCGTGTGTTCGGGACCCCGACCTCTCCTTGCTGAGAAAGGAGGAGCTGGACCAGGCCCCGGGGCCCGTGCCTCGCCAGTACACAACTCTGTCGTGGCTTTCGCCCCGTGAAGACCCCACCCCAGGTCCTCTGGAGCCATTCAGCGCCCGTCTCCTCCAACTCGGACAGACTGGTGTCCAGAGCGTGGTAGCAGTCCCCTCACGCCAGGACGCTGGTGCGGGTCGCTCTGCCCCCTGAGATCCAGGGCCACGTTCCCGACCTCTGTGGGGTGTGGGGGCCAGGGCAGGGTGCCTGCCTCATCATTGCCACACAAGGTCCTATCAGGTCACTCACCAAAACCCTCCCTACAGCCCACAGGAGAGACGGTGGGTCGCCTTCCAGCGATGAAGACCGAACCTTCCAGCTGAGAACCCTAGGGCCAGAGGTGCCCTTCCTGGGGTGCAGAGAGATGGAGGCGTCCCTGTCACCCAGGTCCCTTCCCCTGCTCTGTCCATAGAGCCTGAGCTGGCTGTTTGGGAACCTCACAGACTGACCGCTCCCCCCTCTGGGACCTGAGGCGTCCACGTGTCAGGCACCAGGAGGCCGGGTGTCCAGGGAGGTCTCGCTCTCTCCTTCCAGCGAGGGACCTTGTAGCCGTGTCCCACACCACATGGCTGAAAGGCCGAGGACTGGGCTCCTTCAGTCCCTTTCCCTGCTCTCCTCCCTTCTATCCTCCTTGGTCATAGTCATGGAGGCCCCAAGGTCACGCATGTGAGGCCAGCGCTCGACTCCTGAGCCACTTTCCCAGCCCTTTCTGGTGTCTTTGACGAAGGATCTCACACACTTGCCTGGGCAGGTCTTGAACTGCCAATGCCCCTGCTTGGCCTCCCCAACCCACAAGTAGAAAGGCAGTCACCACCTTGCCCACAGTGACATGTCTCTGTGTCTGTGTCTGTCTCTGTGTGTTTCTGTGTGTGTGTGTGTGTGTGTGTGCATGAGCACACCTGAGACCAAGCGCGACCATGTGTGGTGCAGAGGGTAGAACCAGGGCCTAGTTGCTGGCCAGAGGAGGTCCAGCCCTGAGGCGCACATCCCCTTGGGAAGCCAGGGCCCCAGGGCCTCACCCTCCTGAAGGACCACAACACCACACCCTCAAAGGGAGGGGAGTTTCAGCAGCACTTTTGGAGAAACACACTCCTCAAACCACGGCCCTGGGAAACCAAAGGCAAGGGACTCGGTCTCCCCTGCACCTGCCCTTCAGGACAGGAGTCCCTGGTGGTGGACTGAAGGACCTTAGGCAGGGACTCAGAGATGGGTGAAGACACAGGGGTTTCTGGAAAGGCCAGTTCCTGGCAAGTACAAAAGCTGGCCTCACTTTTCTTGTCCACGGGGAAGGGACCAATTCAGAAGAAAACACTCAGTGGAGGGTCTGCGGTACCAAACCACCAGGAACACACGGGTGGCTCTGTGACATCAGAGACCCAGGGGGAGGGGGGGGTCTGCATCTAGTACAGGATGGAAGTGAGGCTGCCCTCCATTCACATAAGACAGGGATCTCTGACCCACGTCAAATGGAAACCCCGCGGGGATCACAAAGAAAGGGGGACAGAGCCCACACCCCGAGTCGAAGGGATGGGAATTGAAAGGTTCACTCCAAACACTAGACCCGGAAAACGGCTCCTCCCAGCCAGCCCTGCACTCCTGGGGGCTGGGGGCTCTGGCCACACACCCTCCCCTGCCCACACCTGCGCCCCAGCTCCCCCACCCATAGGTGGTCCTGCTCCCTGCTCAGCAGCCCTGGGGAGCTCAGGGTGGCAGGCTGAAGGGCCCGTCCCTGGGTCAGGACGCTCACAGGGACGGTCCCGTGCAGCCGAAGACCTAGAGAGGATAAAGCTTCACCAGGGCAAGAGCCAGGCCCTGGCAGGGACATTCAGAGGAGGGAGCAATAGGCAGCCCCAGGCCACTCAGGGCTCTACCCTACTGCCCCCAGGGCCTGTGACACGGGGCCTCCTCGTGCCATTCTGGGTGTCCCCCTCCAGGATGGGCTTGGGCTTGTAGCTCCTCCTGTCCAGGGTTCCCTTCCCAAAGTGGTGACCGGGCACCATCAGTGTCAGAGGCAGCGGCCAGGGCAGGTTGCACTTCTCGCTCCAGCAGCTGGCCCTCGTGAGGGAGACCGCAGGGCCACTTGTCTGTGGACTCAGAGAGGGGCTAGGAGTCAGAGTCACCAACCCCTTGCTCCTATGTGGACTTAGATAGAATTATAAACTAATTAAGCAAAGTTTCAGGGTATAAAATAAACACAATAAATAAGTTGGTTTCCTGTACATCAATGACGAATTAGCTCTATGGGATTTCCTGAAATCTAAGCTTTAACAATAGCCATCAAAATTAATATAAAATAAAATACCTGGGAATCAATCTTAACAAAATTGTCAGTTGATCTGTATAATGAAAACTGAAGAACACAAAAGAGAGTTATTGCAGGAGATCATAGAAAATGGAAACATCTCCCATGTTTTTGAATAGGCAGAATTAATATTGACCATGTGGCCATATTACCCACAGTTCTATATAGATTTCTTGCCATTCCTACAGAATTCTAATGATGTTTTCTATAGGAATATGAAAGGTAACCATGAAATTTGTTTGGACAAATGAGACATCCAGAATAGACAAAGCAATTCATTTGCAAGAAAAATGCAGAAGGCCTCACAATATCAGACCTTAAATTAGATCACAGATCTGCAGAAACCAAAATGGCACATTATTGGCACCAAAACAGACAAGACCACCAATGGAACAGAAAACCCAAAGAGAAACCCACAAGTATACAATTACCTCATAGAAGACAAAGGTGCCATCAACATATATTGGGGAAAAGATAGTCTCTTCAACAAATGGCCCAGGGAAAAGTGGAAATCCATATGTAGTAGAACAAAACTGAACCCTGTCTGTCACCCTGCAGAAGACTCAGGTCAAAGTGCATCAAGGATCTAGGCATTAGACCAGAGACCCTGTTTACTAGAAGACAAAGTAGATCCACCTCTCCATCACCTCAGCTTAGGAACTGAGTTCCTCAATAAGACTCAAAAAGCTCAAGAAGTAAAATCAAGAATCAATCAACGGAAGGGTCTCAAACTAAAAGTCTTCTTCATTGCAAAGGAAACAAGAACCTGAAGAGAAAGCCTACAAAATGGGAGAGATCTTTACCACCTGCTCCTCAGATAGAGCATCAATCTCCAGGTTGTCCAAAGAAGTTAAGGAACTTTTAACAACAACAAAATAGAACCCACAAATGACCCAATCACTAAATTGGCACAGGAACTGAACCGGCCCTTCACTGGTAAGGAAATATGAAGGGTCAAGAATATATGAAAAAACATCTCTAGCCATCACAGAAATGCAAGTTAGAACTACAATGAGATCACTTCTCATTCCATTCAGAATGGCCACCATCAAGAACACAAGTAGCAATAACTGTTGGCAAGGATGTGGGGAGAAAGGTACTCTCAATCATTGCTGGTGGGACTGCAAATTAGTTCAAGCACTGTGGAAAGCAGTAAGGATATTCCTCAGAAAACTTAGAATAGAACCTCCATTTGACCCAGTTATCCCACTCCCTAAAATCAGCATAGTACAGTGACCCAACTACATCAAAGTTTGTATCCGATCAATTCACAGTACTAAGCTATGGATCTGACCTATGTGTCCTTCAATACATGAATGGATAAAGAAAATGTGATACACACACACACACACACACACAGACAATGATATATTACTAATGTATAAAGAAGAATGAAATTATAGCATTTGCTAGTAAATGGATGGAAGTGGAAAATATGAAATAAGCCAATCCCAGAAAACCAAAAGCCAAATGTTCTCTTTGATTTATGGATGCTAAGCCACAACATGGCAGCAGGGAGAAAAGAAAGAAATCCATTGGATTAGACGGAAGGGAGAGGGAGGAGAATAGGAAGGTAGTAGAATTAATTGGACATAACATTCTCAGTCTTGTTGACTACATGACCATGGTTATTTTGCAATATGTACAATCACAAGAATAGGATCCTAATTAGAATAAGTTATACTCCCTGTATGTACAATATGCCAAAATGCATTCTACTGTACATGTAAAAAGAACAAGTAAAAATCAAAATTTTTCAGCAACAAGTAGCTTAGGTTGATCAAAATATAAATCATTTACATTTTTTAAGTATTTTTTGTTGTAGATGGATACAATATCTTTATTTTATTTGTTTTTGTTTTTTTACGTGGTGCTGGGGATTGAACTCAGTGCCTCAAGCATGCTAGACAAGCACTTGACCACTGAGCCACAACCCCAGCCCTAATCATGTGCATTTTAAAACACTATTTGTAATAATCCTTAACAAAATTTTATTTCAACATAAAAAATGTGATAGATATATGAGTATTACTCAGCTATGAACAAGAATGACATTATTTCATTTCCTGGTTAATGGGTGGAACTGAGGAGATCATGCTAACTGAAGCAAGCTAGACTCAGCACGTCTGGGAATGAGTATTTTCTCTCAGAGGTGGAAGAGAATTAAGGATAAAAGGGGTGGGTTAATCCTACTGAGAGATCAGTGGAGCAGAGAAAGGGTTGAGGAGGAGGGAGGAGGGACAGGTCAAAGGAAGAAGAGTGGAAGGAATCTGGTCAAACTTTCCTGTTCCTGTACGGACGGACCTCAGTGAATCTCACCATCATGTGTATGCAGAATGCACTGATGTTGAAAAATTATAACAGGAGAACATTCAGTTAGGAAATGGGGAAGGAGGGGGGAAGGGAAGAGGGAATTCCTGAGGACTGAATTGGAGCAAATCATGTCTCATGGTTCTATAATCATGTCAAAATGAACCTCAATCATGTATATCTCTAATGCACTGATAAAAATGTAGAACATGGGGCTGGGGAGAACTTTTCCACGTGTTTGAACACTAGAATTCTTTTGCATTTCATCAGTGTGCTGCAAATTTGTAATAATTTGCTACACACTCACACGTTTCCAGGATGCCTATTGTTTATGATGATCAGTCTGTGATTTGTTTCTGTGTGGTGTGTTTAAATATTCTAAGTCAAAAGGATTTAGGAGGTTGATACATAAAGACACACATAAGCAACACAAATTTAAATATATGTCATCAACTGAATCTATTCAAAACCAATCTAGAGATGCTGTTTGAGTCTCATTTTTCTCTGGAAAGGATTAATTCAGCTATCTGCCTGTTAGATTCCTGAATTATTATAGTAACAGCTACATTGCAACCCACTATTTAAAAACATTAGAAGAGCTGGACATGGTGACACACACCTGTCGTCCCAGCATCTAGGGAGGGGGGCACAGGAAGATCTCAAGTTCAAGTCCAGCCTGGGCAATTTAAAGAGGCCCTGTGTCATAAGTAAAAAGGGCTGGAGATGTAGCTGATGGCAGGTGTCCCTGGGTTCAATGTCCAGTACTGCAAGAGAAGCAGATGGGCAGTTTTGTTAGTACTGCCCTTGTCCATAGCACTGCCGCTCAAGAGTGGGGAGCTTTGAATGAAGAAGGCCTCAGGGAGAGTCCTCATCTGAACACCTACATTAAAGCCGGGAGAACTGTTTGTGCAGATTCAATTGCAGCTCTAAGGAAAAGATCTGTATATTAGGAAACCTTCATGATGATATATTAATAATTTAAATCTTTCTGTGCCCAAGAACAAGTAGACAGCAGGGAAGAACAGGTGGGAAGTAAGTGGCCACGTGGATATTCATAAAAAGCAAAAAGATGTAATAGACATCAAAGTCACTCTAGAGAAACCAAGAAGGCCTTGATGGGACAGTTAGTAGGTCAGATGTGACTGAGAAAAGACCAGGGAGCTGGAGGAACCCTGAACAGAAACTTCTGAAAATGAAAAGCAAAGAGACAAGACCCACAGTAACTTCCAGGTGTAATGAATGGTGCACAATGAGAACCCAGGGACTCGGGAGGCTTACGCAGAGGGGACCCAGGCCAGTCTGTGCGACATACCAAGATTCTGTCTCAAAGTAAAAGTCAATTAAGAGGGCCTGGATGTGGGCTGGGGATGTGGCTCAAGCAGTAGCGCGCTCGTGTGGCATGCGTGCGGTCCAGGTTCGATCCTCAGCACCACATACAAACAAAGATGTTGTGTCTGCCGAAATCTAAAGAATAAATACTAAAAAGTTCTCTCTCTCTCCCTCCCTCCCCCACCTCTCTCTCTTTAAAAAGATAAGGGCCGGATGCAACTCAGTGATAGAGCACCTCGGGTTGAATCTCCACACCACCAAAAATAATGCTCACTGGTGGCACGGACGACTGAGAAATTTCCTGAATTAGTGTCAGACACCAGATCACAGATCAGGAAACTAGGGAACATCAAGCAGTAAGATAAAGGCCAAGATATCCACACCTAGTGACGTGTTTGCTGGACACAAACTATGTGCCTCAAAACCTTAAGTGCTGAAGTCCCAGCCCAGTACTTCAAACTGCGACTGTGTGGACATAGGGCTTCCAAGGAGATGGTTCAGATAGAATGAGGGTTTTAGGGAGGGTTTTAATCCAATCTGACTGCTGCTCTTACAAAATGAGGAAATCTGGACATAAGGACACACCAGGGGCACCAGTGAGAAAGGCTAGGGAGCCAGAGTAAGAAGGTGGTCATCTGTAAACCCAGGAGACACGCCTTGAAGAAACTAAGCTTGCCACACCTTCATCCTGGACTGCAGCCTGCGGGACTGTGAGAAAATAGCTTGCTGCTGTGGGAGCAGCCCAGTCTGGGGGGTCTGTTGACGGCAACTCCAGCCAACCCATACAGTCTTTAACCT